TATTAACCCAAATTAGTTAAGAACTTATGCCCACACAGAAACACCATGCCCAATGCTTATAGTGCTTGATTTATCATCAATAGGTAAATGGATAAATTACTACACAATGCAATATAATTTAGTGCTAAAAAGGGGGAGGGGGAGATATCAACTTGCAGACATGCAGGAAACTTAAATGCACGCTTGTAAGTCAAAGAAGTCAATTTGAGTGCTATGCTACATACTATAAGTGTCCAAATATATAACATTCTGAAAAAGACAACATTATGGAGACAGTGAAAAGATTACTGATTGTCAGAGATTAACATGTAGAGAAGGATAGATAAGCAGAGCAGGAAAGGTTTTTAGGTCAGTGAACCATCCTGTATGGTACTACAATCACATTTAATGCTAGTATACATTTCTCAAAATCCATAGAATGTAAGTCACCAAAAGCAAACCCCAATGTAAACTATGGACTTTCAGTGATAATGTTTTATCAATGTAGTCTATCAATTGTGATAAATGTTATCATTGTGTTATAGGATCTCAATAGTGGGGAAAGATGTGTGTTTGTATGACAAGGGGTATACGAGAACTCTCTGTACTTTCTTCTCAATTTTGTTGTGAACTTTGAATTGCTCTAAAAATTTTTTTCCTATTAATTAAAAGGCAAAGAATTGATGATGTAGCATATGCTATAACATAGAGTTCCTTAAGGCAATATTTCCATATTTAGGTTGAAGAATGTAGGTAAAATCCTTTTTATCCTCAATTGAAATCCTTTTTATTATAAATTTTAATAAAACATCAAGTTTGATTCTTTTAAAATAGAATAAGTAAACTATTATAAAGAAAGCAATAATCATCTAAAAATTCTACCACTTTAATAACCACTAATAACATCTTGATGACTATGCTTCAATGTAGCTTTTCATGCATATGTGATATAATTTTAAAAATTAATTTGTTTATATATTAACCTCACATTAAAACTATAATATGTTAAAATACAATTAATACAATTAGAATACATTTAATAATAATAGGAAGGGTCCACAGGAAGGACTGTATCTGAGAACATTTAATTTAATTACAGATGTCATTCAACACAGCATGTATATAGCTCTATCATTATTACTTATGGAATACATTAATATTTGGAAGCAAGTCATGGGGCCAGCAAGTGGTGTGGTGTGGTGATTAAGGAACTGGACTTACACATACTAAGTCCCAAAGCTGGTGGCTTGCTTTCTCACTTTTCCTCTCTCTCTCTCTCTCTCTCTCTCTCCCCCCCTCTCTCCTCCCCTCCCTCCCTCTCTCTCTGTGGTGAGTGCATGTATCCTATAGAAAACTGTGCCAAAGTAGATATAAAAAATTCCAGCAAAACCTATTCTAATGTTATACAAATGTTTCTAAAATTCATCACAATCATATTCAAGTTTCCCAAAACTTAATCTAATTGAACCAACATAATTCTGTATTTATATCAACCTAATATGCATAACCAACAACCATCCTCTGACTAATGTCTGTAAGCCATGGATAATGTCCTTAACAATAAGTTCCACATTCTCAACTGCTTCTATTCTGACACAGTTTTTAAAAATCAGATTCCTTCTTTATGGCGGCTAACTTTTGGTTCTATATTTTACAATACCTAGGAATAAATCTAATTAAGGATGTAAAAGATTTTCTACCATGAAAACTATTTTAAAAAATTAAAGGAATTAGAAAAGAAACATGCACAAATGAAAAAAATATACTTTAAAGATTTGAAGAATCAATATAGTTAAGATACTGACACTATCCCAATTGATCCACATATTCAATGCAACACCTATAAAAATACTAGTGACATTTTTCATGGCAACAAAAAGAACTATCATAAAGTTGGTTTGGAATTGAAAAAAACAAACAAACAAAAATATCACCAAAGCAACATTGTGCAAACAAAATAAAGTTGAAAGCATCACACTACCTGACTTCAAAGTATATTACAAAGCCATAATATCCAAAAAACAGCATGGTAATGACACAAAAACAGATGTATAGACTAATGGAACAGAATGAAGAATCCAGAAATAAATACTACAAAATAAAACCAACTGATTTCTGACAAAGCTTCCGACAAAATCAAGTGAAGTCTTTTCACTGACAGTTCATTCTTATTCCATAAACTTTAAATGTTAACTTGGACTTCTTGTTTTATGGCATTGGCATTTTCTAATTGAATGTAACTTGAACTCACTCCACCGGTTCTTTCTACTTTGGGTTAAATGCATACAGAAAATTTTAAGTCCTTTGGAATGAACACATTTCATACCCAAACAGCAGCAGATTCAGACACTGTTTACTTCATTCAATCACTGAACCTCAAATTCCATCTTGCTTAATCATTTCTATTTCTTTGCTTGTTTTTATTTATTTTTTAAATGAACTCCCAGTATTAAATGCTGGTATTTTCTTCTCACCTCCATCTTTTTCCCTATTCTCAAACTCTTTTTAATGTTCCTTGGATCTTAGGTTCACTTAGGTACTTTTTACATCAGTTATTCTCTCTATAGTTTCTAAAAAATCACAAACTCCAAAGCACAAGAAATTAAGTAGGTGGATGATAAATATAACAAAAGAATAGTACATCAAGTAAATGAGGTGAAGAGGAGACCACAAATGAAGGCAGCAGAACATTGATGGCTAATTTTATACAGAAAAAGGAATGATCCATCAAAAATTTAATCTTATTAAAAATAATTTTAATTGCTTTAACAAATTAGACTGAAGAAAATTTCTATAATGTTCTATAAATTGTGGCTGTAAAAATTGAAAAGGCATAGAACAATGTACAAATTTATAGAGATGCTAAAATTTGGATAATAGTTTGTCCCCAAAATGTTCATGTTTTGGAATTTGAACTTACTAAGTGGTGACTGAATGTCTCTCAAAAATTTATGTGTTGAGACTTGGTTGTGTTAAAAAGATGTTCATAAAAACTTAATTTCTTCAAATCCCAAACTACAGCCCTTGGATGTGATAAATGTATTAGAATGAGGCCTTCATGACAGAGTTCTGGGACATATGAAAAAAGTGGAAATGATGCAGATAGAGGCCATCTGGATGCAGACAACACAAGGAGAAACTAGAGACAGCAGTTTTGCTCAAGATCAAACCCTCCACCATGTCTTAGCCTCACCACGGACCCTGAACCCTGGACCTCCAACTCATAAACTGAATAAATCTCTATTTCTTAAGGTATGTATCCCATCTCAGGTATTTCTGTAAGCAACACAGTAATAAACTAAGGTAATAGAATATAAAAGTGGCATTAATAGTGGTGTGGTTAGACCAGCAGGTGGCATAGTAGTTAAGGCACTGAACACTCCCACATGGCCAACCACTGTTCAAGTCCCAGACCTGGTGGCTTGCTTTCTCATTTTCCCTCCCTCTCTCTCTGATCAAATTTTTAAAAAATAATAAATAAAATAAAATTAAATAATTCTTTAAAAATATAGTGGTGTGGTTGGCAGAATTATTAACATGAAAGAGATTTAGAAAGCTCTTCATAATAAATATGTTTTGCCAATACTTTCATAACACTCAGAGTACGTGTAAAGGTCTGACAATAGTATATTCAATGTAACTCCATAAATATTAAATAAAATAATCTTTGTAGAATGAATATTTAATTCCTATTCATGCATATATAATAGTCACTTGCCATAGTATATATATTTTTATATATATAAACATATATATATATATATATAGTCCATATGAATATGTTTATCATTTAAATACTACTTAACAGTATATTCAAATCAATTATCTGTATACAACAAATTGATTATCAATATACAACATTCACTGATGGTCTCCTCTGTATAAAGAATTTTAAACCCCAGATGGTGTCTTCTGAAATTAATGAGTTTATATTCTGCATAGAGTATCAAAAAACATGCTACATAAACTTTATAATTGTATACAACATACTATATGGAGCAAATACAGTTGAGATTGGTTGCTGACAAAGGAAAAGTTTTGAGAAGTATACATTATGTTTTAAATCTATGTTTATTCAATGGATAACTTTAATGAGATTTAAGCACTTGAAGACATCACTGTTGTGCTGTTGAAGAACACAGGTCCTTATTTACACTGAATTCACACTAAGGACAGTCTGAACCTTTCTTTAGTCTCCTCTCCTCATGCTAATGTAATAGAGACATTTGTAGTTCAGGCAACTCAGGAACAGATTGATGTATGAGAGAGTTTATCACAAACACAGTTTTTTATAACATATAAAAGGTTCACACTAGTTAATTCTGCTATAATGCTGAGTCTTTATTTCTACTATCGGATGGAAAATTTTAAAAAATTCTAAAGACAGAAAAACAAAATCTCTAAAGTCAGAAGACTCAGTCTCAAATCCTAGCTTTGTCATTTAACTTGTGAATTTTGTTAAGTAACTTCTCTGAGCTTTAGTTTCCTGATTTATAAAAATAAGATAAAAACACCTCACATTATGTTGTGAAGAATAAATTACATACCCCATGCAAAATATCTAGCACAGTGCCTGGTACATAGTAGACACTCAATTAAATGTAAGTAAATTTTTATTTCTATTGAGTTCTCAAAGCAATTTATGATCAAGCATAAAAAGAGTATATAAATGTTTTTCCATACATGAAATCACCAGTCTCTAATAAACTAAATATTTCTTTATGTTTCCAATCACTGAGAAGAGGTTTTTTACATTACTTATTACTATTTTCAGTAACTAAATAAAAGAAAATAACATATATACAAAGCATAAATAAAATGGATGTCATAAGCGTTACTAATGCACTACAAGTATTATGTTTGTACTAATTATTATATAACTTTTCTCACATAATATAATTTAAGGTAGAATATTAATAATAGGAGATATTTAAGAGACTGAAAAATCTTATTAATCATACATAAATTATAACTAGCATCATAAATAAACTACTTCAAAGAAAGTAATAAACTATACTTACATGTCTCCAACGTGCAAACTTTTCTTTTATATTAGTTTCAGGTTTGAAAAACATATCCTTAAAGAGCATATTTTCATATCCTTTGGTTATATAAAACCACTTTTTTTCATATTCTCTGAATACTTTTTCCTGCTGTTTTTTACACATAAAAAAAGAGCTAAATACAAGAATACAAGGGGAATAAAAAGCACCCATTAGTTGTTTGTTTTGGTCACAAAAAAAGAAAATGCAAAAAGTCCACAAGAGTTCACTTATAACTTTGAAAACACAGAAGTAAATTTAACATAATATTTGTTTTCAACAATTCTGTACTTATATCTGGCTATGCATTTTAAAATATAATAGCAGGGAGAACAGTACTGAATTATCTATAGAACTGTTAGGTAAAGAGTGTAAAGTCTTTTTTTTTTTTTTTTCCCTTCTCAGTGAAGAATTAACTTCTGATTATAGCAAGAATAATTATTATACCACAAAAATTGTATTTTAACTACATTACAAGTACTACTTTCCCAAGTACTGGGAAAGATATTCTAGAGAGTACCATCCAATGGAATATAAGCTATAATAATTTCAGATTTTCTATTAGCCACACAAAAAAGGTAAAAAACAAACAAACAAACAAACAAAAAAAGTGAGATTAATTTTATTACTGTACTATATCATACCCAGTTATCCAAGCTATTATTTAATAAAAAGCATCTTTAAGCTTATATCATACTTAATAATAAAATACTAGGGACCAGCAGATGACATAATGGTTATGTCACTGGATTCCCATGAAGTCCACTGCAGTTAGAGTTCTGGAACCAGTGGCTTAAAATTCACACCAAGTGTGTGTGTGTGTGTGTGTGTGTGTGTGCCCAAAATTCTGAGAGTAGAACGATCTCGATTTTGAATACAAATATAAAAATTTTAAATTCTAGTTAAAAGAGTACAACAACATAAGCAAATAACACTATAATCGTATAACACTCAACTCATTACATCAACAAATCTGTGGAGAAATAAATGAATGATTATATATAATAGATATGTAAACATATAAATAGATGTAGAGAAAGCATTAGATAAAGTTCAGCAGTCACTCTTCATTTTAAAATCTTTTAAAGAAAGGATCAGAGTAAGCCACATTAATATGATAGAGATGATGTAGCAAACCTCAAAAACATCCTTTCTATGTTATAAGATAGTGAAATCACTTCAAGTAGAATGATAAACAGCTAGGAAATTTACAGTTACTATTATTATTCAATTGCAGAAATAAAAACAAATTATTCAAGAAAATCAATCTTCACAGTTCACAGATATTTTAAGTGGGCTCTACCTATTAATTCTTTTATTCAAAATATTTTTATTATTGGCTTACAAATTAGTTAAGAGTACAAGTAAGAGAATAAAAATTATAATGGTTTAAGTTAAACAGAAGTTTACTTCTCTCTAATGCTGACCAGTCTAAACTGGTAGGGTAGCTCTGGTCCAAAGTCCTTCAACCTTGCTTCATGACACCCAAAGATACTGGCACCAACCCACTTAATGGATGCATTTCAGCCCATTGGAAAGGAAAGACATGAAAACAAAGAGGGTGAGAGAAGGAAGAGAGTGTGAGGGAAGACATTAAGGAGAAAAATAGAGAAGCAAGACATTTATGGGACAGAAAAATGGATTATTATCAGTTGATAATTATGCATATAGTATCCCTAACTGGACTGGTGTAAAATGTATTCATGTTGGAAAATTAACTTTACAAGCTAAGTGATGCATAGTGATTAAATGTATAAAAGAAATTAAAATAAAATAAAATATATTATAAAAAATAAAGGAGAAACAATAGCCATTTAATCAGGCAAATCAGAAGTTGCACTCACCATTTCTGCTCACTTTCAGTTGAGCACATGTAACCAGAAGAGAAAATGTTAATGCAATTTCTAGTGGTCAACTGCAAAAAGGAAAAAAAAAAAATTTATGAGGAATGTCATATTCTGTAAATGGCCAATATGTGTTTTGTAAGAAAAAAGTTTCTAATACCATGAGCTTACATTCTCTAATAAGTAGAGAGAGATAACATAGAAGTAAAACTTTAAAATATTAGTGAATTGCTTTTTATAGGATGGTCTGGGATAACATTGCTAAGAAAGGATAAGATAAAAAGGCGTAGCTCAGAAAAACTGTCTAGCTGAACCAAACATCAAGCACAAAAGGCCAAGCAGAAGTACACATAGTGAAACAAGACCATACTTGCGATGTTTGAAGAACAGGAAAAGTTCCTGAATGGAAAGTCACTACACATTTTTGAGCAAGAAATGTAATTTTGAAAAGGACCGTACTGGAGAGATGTTTTCTGGAACAGAAATGTGACTTCTGTGGGACCAGCAGTTGGCGTAATGGCTATGTCGTGTACTCCCATGTAGTCAACCATGGTTCGCGTCCTGGACCCGGTGGCTTAAAACTCACACTGGGCACAAGTGCGTGCGTGCCTACCCAAGATCCCAAGAGGACAATGGAGGAGAAGGGATTGTGGCATCCCCCCTGGGGCATGATTTCTTGCTTTCTGTTTCTCTGTCTCTCTCTGTCTGTCTGGCAAACACATGCACCCTACAGCAAAAACCTCTCCAAAAAAAAAGAACTGTGAGTTCTGTGAAACTTCTCCTTAGTGATACAACCATAACCGGTGAAAATTATTCTTTTAAAAACTTACAAATCTCTGAAAATTGTTTTAAGAGCATTCTGCAAAATAAACAGTTAAGAAAATCTAAGTCTCAGCAATATCAGTGCCATTAAAATCTATAGCAAAATCTATGCCATTTAAATCACAACCTACTCTCTTTTTCCTCCCCCAATCCTTGTTCAACATGAAGGAAGTCCCTTTCTGAGAAGGCATAAACAAAAACACAGTATCCCTTTTCTACCTGGTTTTAGTTGAGGTCTATGGAATCTCCCCAAGAAGGGCAGGACACCAGCATTTCTCACACTCTATCTTAGCTCCAAGTCTCAAAGGTACCATGCTCAAGAGTAGCTAAAAGGTCTGGGACATTTTCCTCTCTTCGGTCCCCTCCCACTCATAGTTCAGAAACTCTAATGTATTAAATGCAACACATAAAGAATACTGAAGCCCTGATTGTTCTTGCCTCAGCTCAACTGAAGAGCATATATCCCATGCCAGGTGACACAAGCTGAGAAAACCAGATGCTGCTGTCACAGCTTAGAACTCTTCTTATGAAGGAAGGATGTCACTCTGGGTAAAGTGGACCAGTGCTCCCTCACTCTGCTCTAGAGCAGTGGCAGTAGATTTTGCTCAGAGATAAATTCATCCATTATGAACAGTCTGAAGTTAACTGATTTTGTGAAACAGAATATAGGGAATATCAAGCCTGAAGATACTCTTAAAAACAATGGAGGGCCAGCTTGGTGGCTTAGTGCTAATGCATGTTCAAGTAATGAGGGATCCACATGTAAGGTCATGGGTTCAGTTTCTCAGTCAACCTGTACACAGCAGGCATGAGTGAGCCTATAATCCTGGCTTGCTCTAAGAGCTGGGGATGGAGGTAGGTTCAACAGTGAGGTAAACTGCTGAAGGTCTTTGTATTTCTCTCTCTTCAAAACTTCTCTCACTCACTCTGATGAAATATATAAACTTAAAAAAAAAATGGAGATTCAGGCATTGAGCATTTAAAAGGAGGCTGGTAATTCCATGATCACAAAAAGCTAACTTATGGACAAGTTTGAAATTTAACAGAGAGAATCAGGAAGAGAGACCATGGTGTCCAGTGGCTCCTCAGCATACTCTTAAAGTGTAACATGTATTGAAAATAACCAAAAAGCTTTTATTTCTCCATGGTAGACAGAATATCCTTGAGGGCAAGGATAATGTGCATATTACTACAAACACAAAAAAACTGTATCACAACCTCTGACTGAAAATAATATAGAAAACTTTATTTATGTTTCCAGTAAAGAGAAAACAACAAATAAACCATAACTCTATGTAAACAAAAGAATGATTGCTGCTAAATCAAAAACCATAGCAGCATCTTCGTTCAATAAATTAAATGGTTGAGAATAATGCTTTTAAAAAGTTACACAATTTTCTACTAAATCTATTATAATATTTCACTTATAGTTAACATATGCTAGGATATTAAAATTCTGTTGGAGACACTTGTGTAAGAAACTAATGCTGGATTCAGATTATACATGATGAAAAAAAAAAAAAACAGAATAAAAAACACATAAAAAGCCCTTCCAGGAGCAGAAAAAACTGCAAAGATTGGCCTCAAAGTTTACCCTAGAAAAGCATCCAACATAAAGTGAGTTAAGGGAAAGCCCTGCACCCTAATAGCCCCAGCGACTTTAAAAAGACCAAGCACATGTGTGCCTGCAAGTCTGAGGGGTGTTTTCTCCTCTCCTCTCCTCTCTCCAGCTAGCTAGCTAGCTAGCTAGATACACACACACACACACACATACACACACACGTATATGTATATATTTTAAGTGAGGGTATTGTAGTAGGGCTCATACATTCACCAGAAAAGCAGAGAGACACCAAAACAGAAAGTGAGAAATCACTCCCCAGGAGGGATGGCCACACCACAGTCTCTTCTCCTCCATTCTCCTCTCGGATCTTAGGCACACATGTACAGCTTCTGGTATGAGTTTAAGCCGCTGGCTCTGGGACTCGAACCACAGTTGACTACATGGGAGTCCAACGACATAAACATTACGCCATCTGCTGATTCTATCCAGCAATAAAATTTTAAAAATGAGCCAGACTATGGAGTAATTTACGTCTCAGAGCACTGCTGAAAACATCAGAGCAATCAATAGAAAATTAGTGAAGGCTAAAACTGGCTGTGATACCAAAGGATTTCAGACAGCTTAACAAAGTCAGAGAAGAAAGACAGTCAAAGAAAAGGTTTGCTAAAAACCACTGTCATCATAAGACTGCACCAGGGACCAGCAGTTAGTGTAATGGCTATGTCGCTGGACTCCCATGCAGTCGACCGTGGTTCACGTTCCAGACCCGGTGGCTTAAAACTCACGCCGGGCGCGTGTGCGTGCATGCCCAAGATCCCGAGAGGAGAATGGAGGAGAAGGGATTGCAGCATGGCCATCCCCCCTGGGGGTGATTTCTCGCTTTCTGTCTCTCTGTCTCTGTCTGTC